AAGGAAGGAAGGAAGGAAGGAAGGAAGGAAGGAAGGAAGGAAGGAAGGAAGGAAGGAAGGAAGGAGAAAGAAGGAGAGAAGGAGAGAAAGAGAAAGAAAGAGAAAAGAAAGAAAAAACCCTCTTCCAAAAAAATTGCCTGGGTAAACTTGGTGACAGTTTTAAGGGCTGTGCAGGCTGTGCATTCTAAGGAGCAGCACCAGTTGTAGAGGAGCTGGAGGCGGACAGAAGCAGAGTTGGCAAGAGTGGAGTGCCAGGTGTGCTGAGCCAGGCCACAGAGACCGGAAATGAATTCCGTGGATACTAACGTACGGAAATTCACCTGTTCTGCATCCTGTCTTAATCTGGGAGGGGCAGAGGACGGGCATATTTACTCCTTAAGGACAGACACCAGGTGCCATTTCCCAGCTGGTTCTCGATGGCCACTCTCTTGCCAGTCTGGTTACTTTTGGGGAACAGTATCACCCTTAGCTTTTAGGGTGGAAACAGTAGCCTTGCATTTGCTTTGTCCATTTGTTTTAAACTATTATTTGTAATCCTGTTATGATTAAAAGGAATTTGTTTTAGGGGTAATCTGATAAGGTATTTAATTTTTAGTGTATGATAAAATAATACTAACTATGGGCATAAAATTAAGAATCCAAATTTTAAAAAATGTAGGCAAGCGATAAGGTGGTGCGGTAGGTAAAGTTGTTTGCTGCCTGACAATGCCAATGCCTGGTGGCCTATGGGATCCTCAGGAGAGAACTGACTGTAGATTTGTTCTCTGACGTCTGCTCATTTGGCATACATGCCTATGCATATACACACATACATCGCACACACAAACGTGCACCCTCTAAGAAGAAAATTGTTAGGAAGTTTAGAAAAGGAAGTAAGTTGTAAAGGTTTCTTTTTATATTCCTTGAAGTCTTATGGACTGGCGGGATAGCACAGCAGTTAAAGGTGCTTGCTACCACGCCTACTGACCTCAGTTCAAGCCCTAGAACTGATGTACTAAAGGAGGAGAACCAACTCCTGCAACAAGCATGGCTCTCTTTCCCCTGCCCCACCCAGCCCCTTCTCCGTCTCTGTCTTTCTCTCTTGCATGCACAGTTGTGCATGTGTGTGCATGCACACACACACTAAATTTGTCTTTGCTTTATCAACCTTGTGTAGGAAAAATCAGTTTAATAATTAAATTAGACACTTCTCTAACTGTCAGTACTTGATATCTCTGTGATTGGTGGCTAACTTGAGTGTTAATCTGTGTTATGTCATATTGTTTGAAAGGGAAATATTTTAACTTGGGGCGGTGATGAGAATTCAAAATCCAGGCAAATGGGTAATTCTTAGAAAATCTTCCTAATTTTCTGTTCCCTGTAGATGAATTCATTACAAAAAACTAAATGGTGTACTGTGACAGGTTTCCTACAGTCTGTGCTTTGTTCAAATGAACTGGATTCAAAACCCAGGATTTGTCGGAGACTGCCTTTTAATGACACAGGTGGTTTGTGCATAGTGTCTAAGCGTTGAGTAGCCTGCCCAAGACTGAGAGGCACTTGATGCAGATCGGGTTTAGTAATTAACCTGATTTTGTTTGGGACTTGGATGTTGTAAAATGCACAAACATTGGGTTTATCTTGAGTCTTCTTATTCTCATTTGGGGTTGATGGAAATGAAGTAAGGACCAAGTAAACAACTTTTTTTCAGGTGCAAATTCGACCGTGGAACCTAAGTGACAGTGACTTTGTAATGGATGGTTCTCAGCCTTTGGACCCCAGAAAAACTATCTTTGTTGGGGGAGTTCCACGACCCCTTCGAGCTGGTGAGTGGAAACAGTAATGCCACGACAAAAGGGATGACGACAAACCCCAATGCGCTCTCTCTGTCTGGGTCTCCAGTCAGATGGGCACAGCCTCCGAAAGGCTCTCTCTGAGCTGACTTTTCTATGGTTAAGAATTTTTCCCAAAATGCTGTATATCCTTTTGTTGTAAGAGTCCATTTCATTAAACCATTTTGTGGACAGGATGAGCTCTCTTTAGTTCTTTCCTATTCACCCACATCTGGCAGTGTGTGTGCTCATGCAAGGTGGTGTTGCAGTTACCCATCAGAAGTCTGTCCAGTGCATGAGGACCTCAATGAGGTCATTGAGAAGCCGAACTACTGCTGGGAATTATACTAGACCCCTGGGCCTCCCCGAGCAAGGCAGGATCTAATTAGTTTTAATGATTTCCAGAAATGAAAATTTCCAGAAAAGACATATTGAGGCATTTTTAAAATTATGGCTTTATAAAATCTTCCCCATTCTGTGTAGTGTTTTTTTTTGGTGTGGTACTGGGCCTTGAACCCAGGACCTCACACATTCTAGACCAAGCACTCATATCCTCAGCTTCCTTTCTACTTTTACAGTTGCCAGACTGGCCTGGAACTCACTGTGTAGACCAAGCAGGCCTTAGACTCCTCCTGCCTCAGCCTCTCAAGTAGCTGAGACTGCAGGCCTACCACTTGGCCTACCTCCATTGTTGCTGTTGTGTATTCTTGTTGTTGTTTTAATTTGTTTCCAAGGATGAAACACTAACACAGCTGAGGGTAAGCTGAACCATAATGAACTAGAGACTTGAAGTGGCATTGAACTGATGCCTCTATATTTAAACCTGCAGACAAGCCTGTGAGCTGAGCATTCCAAAGGCTGACACATGATGATTTCAAGTCTGAGTTTTACCTGAGCTACTTACTGAGTGAAGACAAGGCCAGGCTGGGCTATGTAGAAACCTCAACATAATTTGAATTCTTACTCCAGTCTATACAAACACACACACACACACACACACACACACAGACACACACACAGACATGCACACACACTACACACACATACATACTACACAAATACAGACACACACACACACACACACTACACCTACACGCACGCGCATGCACACACACATTCTACACAGTCTACACACACACATACCCCAGCCACATAAGCCCTTTAGAACTCTAGAAGTTAATGGCTTGTAACTTGTAACTCTAGCACTGAGAGGTTGAAGCAGAAGGGGTCTTGAGTTTTGGGTAACTTACTTAGAGAGCCTCTGTCTCAAAAAACAAATGGGATATGATCATAATTCTGTTTTAAAGAACTTTAAAAAATATTGTGATTATGTTAATTTTATACTATGTCTAAAAATCAGAGCTCTCTGGGTTCTTTAATGAAAACTGAGCCAAAAGAAATTACTTGATAAAATCCAGGAAGGGCCAACTCATTGGGAACAACTCGAGACAAGAGTAGCTGTAGCATTTTGGTCCTAAATTATATGTGTGTTTAGGAACAGAGGGGGGTGCTGTAGAACACGCATGACTCTTCTGACTGTCGATGTGCAAGGCTGGAGAAGAAGAACCTCACTGAGAGTTTTCACTGCACACAGATTTTACAGTTGGATAGTCCCTGCTATACCTTGCAACTAACTGCACAATACAATGGAAGTTTTTGTAATGTTTGACCCCGCCCCCTTACTCTTCCCATATGAGGACCTTTACAAGTCCTAAAGCTGGATATAGTGGTACACACCTGCAAGCCCAGACAGAGAAAGGTGGATCTCTTGAGTTCCAGGTCAACTTGTCCACATAGTGAGTTTCAGGTCAGGCAGAACCACACAGTGCCTACAACCATAACACAGTACAACTGATTTTAACTTGTCAGGTCTTGATTTAAGTCACAGGAACTGTAGTTAATAAGCTACATTGTACCCAATGTTCAGCTTCAGCAAGATGCTGCAAGTTCTAGAATCAGACAAAAATGATACTAGGTTATAAAGCTGGGCATGGGCACCCAGCTGTCATCCCTGTACATGGAAGAAGAAGGCAGGTGCATCAAGAGTTCAGTGTTATCCGTAGCTGCTTAATGAGTTCAAGGCATGCCTTCATTACATAAGATCCTTGTCTCAAAATGCCAAAAAAAATGAAAATAAATATTTTAAAAAGTATATTCAGTTGCTTAATCAGAAATAGGGTGTGTGTTCTATTTAGAGAATATATTTACTTAGAGAATATACCTAATATGTCTTGTATTTCTTTTTTAAGTTGGCTGTTTTTGTCTTAAAATTGGTTTATTTGGGCAGATATGTAATAGAAGCCTAGTAAGGTCTACTTACTTCAGGTCTACTGGTCTACTTGCCGTGTTACCTCCAGCCCAGTTGCCAGCATTTCTAGAATGCAACTGGTGCCTAGTGTCTAGGGAGCCCATTATTAAATAAATCAGCAAGGGCATGCCGTACTGAACTGAGTGAACATCTCACCATCCTGTTAACAGATCATTTTCTATAGAGAACCAAAGCTTCAGAACAGGACACAAGGAATGCTTTGAGAGTTGAAGACTAAATTATATTCTTTAACATGATTCTGTAATTTGGTCTTGAGATACTACAGAGTATTTTTCAAAAGATTTTTAAATCTCTGTATGCCTGCAAGAGTTCATGTGTATCACGTGCTGGCTGGTGCCTGTGGAAGCCAGGGAACTTTGGATTCCCAGAACTGGACTTACAGGTGCTTGTGAGCCATATGACGTGGGTGCTGAGAAAGCAAACCTGGAGCCTCTGCAGAAGCAGCAAATGCTCTTAACTCCCGAGCCATCACTCGGCTGAAGACTGGCTTTCTTTATCAGTGTCTTAGGATAGGGTCTTCCTTGGGCCTCACTTAGTAGGTAAGGCTTTGGGTTTTAGGAAATATTTTTTCTCTTTCCCTTTATCCTGGTCAAAAACTGTTGTGATTGGAAGACTGGAATGTTATTCCTATAGATCTTTTGAGGGGTTTTTGTTTTGTTTTGTTTTACTTTTGACATTGTAAGATAGGGACTATCATAATATTTATTCTAAATGTAGCTCTTATCCATCTGAATAGAAATACCTTGAAAGAAGCAAGTATTATCCTAACTGAACTTCTAGTGTCTATTGAATTAAATATTCTTACACTTTGACAAAACTTTTTGGTTTTTGAGACAGGCTCTCACTGTGGAGCCCAAACTCATCAAACTCATAATCCTCCTGCCAGACATGACCCACCATACCCAGATCAAAGCTCCTTTTTAAAATTCAGGTTGGCAGGGGAAATCATGGGCCTAGAGAAATTAACTTAATGGTGAGGAGTAAGAAGTAAGGAGATCCAGTGAAAAGTGGATCCTGGTGAGTTGTGGGTCGAGGTTGGGTAACGCACATTGCTGTCTGTATCTCGTCCCCCTTTCTTCCATCACTTCGTGATCAGCAGCAGCAAGCTAAGGATGGTCTGTCCTAAATCTGGTGTTTCTCAGAGTATCCCATTTTCCTTGGGGGAGGGGGGGCGAAATTGTAAGAAGACTCACCCTGCCCCCATGTGGCTAAAGTCTGCACATCCCTTTGAGAGCCCAGGGAAGAACTAGGCCATTTGTCTGCTTCTCTGTGAGTTCCTGAGACAATCGCATGCTGACCTTTTTCCAGTGGTAATGAGCAACATAGTATCCCGAATGCCCACACAGAGGAAGCCCTGTGGTGTATCTCTGTGGCGTTGGGACCTCTTCCCTCTGACAGTAAATCAGTGTCAGGCAGAGGCTATAAGGAGACCAAGTAGAGACCGGAATGCCTGGTTTCGCAGTGCTCTCTACTTCCTTTGCGTGAGTGCTCCTCCCACTCCATCTTCTTGGTTTGGGTGTCTTGATTGTGCCTAAGTTTTGGAATCTCTTCTTCCCAAATTAATAGGCTTTAGAGCCATGCTCTTTGCTTGATGACTTCTTCCAACATTTGCTCAGACCAGGCCTTTCAGAGTAGCTTCACCTTGAGAGACTGAGGTCTCGAGCTCCTAGAGTCATTGTTTCTCTATTGTTGGGTCTTTGATCTTTCTTAACCATTGCTCTGCTAAGTCTTTCCTTTCTTTTTCTCCCTATTAATCCTGAAGTTTTGTTCTCTTCCTACTCCCCACCCCTGTTGCTCTATGATAGCTTTTACATCAAGGTAAAGATCCATTATGGTGTAAGAAATTTAATCCATGGCACGATGCATGCCAGGCATGTTATTTATCATTGAGCTTCAGGTCCAGCCCTGGGAGGTAAAGACTCTGAATGATATATACCATATGGAGAGAGTATATATCTCACAATTTCTCAGGATCGTTATTCCAGACATTTTGTCCAAACATTCTGATAGCTCATATGAACTGGGGATCACACCCTGATTTGCAGTTAGTAAATGGTTTTGGAACCATATCCGTTTCTGTTCTGTGAGATGGTAGACGGCCAACGTGACTGTATGTCAAGCTTCTCAGCAGTAGACACTTTCTCATCCAGTCCCAAAGTTCACTCTGAAGTGGCCCAAGTCAACACCAGGTTTGACATGCTAGTAGGGATAAGGACTTTATAATGTTTAATGTGTGTTCCACCTTCCTCCTCCCAGACAAACCTTTGCCCATAGGTGTTGTCAAACATTGTCATATCCATGACAGACTGAGCCAGCATAAAGCAATAGTTAGGCTGGGATGGATTAATGCTTATAGAGCAACAACCAAGCCAGTTTAATTTAAAGCAAAGATTTATGAGCAGGAAAAAAAAACCCTGAACAGTCAAGTGCCACTGTGTACTCAGCAGTGTGCTTAGAGCTGCTGACTCATGCTTAGTCTTTATGATAACCTCGTGAGGTTGTATGCAGAAGACTTTGTGTTTTCGATGAGGAGGCAGTAAGTGAAAACAGCAACAAGTCCCCAGTCTCTGTGGTTCAGCTCTAGGCTCTATGTACCGATGGAAGCTGTTTTATCCAGTGGAGACCTAGTATATTGTCTCAGTAAAAGAGCAACTTGGTAGCAGTTTGAGTTAATGAACTTAAATAAATGCTCCCCTTCTGACTGTGTTCCGTGCCATCATTTAAAAATGTCCCAAGCCTCATCTAACAGAATAGAAGTATGTGCAGCCTCCTCTTGAGCCAGCTTAACAATTGCAGGAGACCTAGAAAGTTCGTCTGCCCTTATCATCCGAGGTGCCTCATGCCTTTCCTGTCGATTTTTGTTTATTTCCAAAGAGAAGAAATAGGACTTCTAGATCTCAATTTAGAATCCATAAAGATGAATGTGGTGATATTTTTCTTTGAAATCCTCATTCCTCTGCCACCTTACGTGGCTCTCAGTGTCCCAGACTTAGACATTGCCTTCAGGCTGACTTTAAAAAGTAATTAAACAAGAGGAGTAGAATGGGGAAATCAAGATTTTCTCTCTGAACTGAAGTCCTTTTCACATCTGAAGGATCAGGAGCGGGTCCAAGGAACCATAATGGGGTTCAGCTTCAGCTTCAGAGGTGTAGTCAGCACAAGACAGAATTCATGAAATGCTGTATGCTCCCATGGCTGCGTTCTTCTTGCTCCCTCTCTGCTGTGTGGCTCTGTGGAGCTCCCACACAGGAGCCAGAGTGGGAACAGGACTCAGGAGGCTTTGCTGCTACTGTGATTTGATTTGGTTTAGGAGTGCGGAGCACACAATCTAAAATGCAGTATGCCCAGCACAGGCCTCTGACTCTTGTCAGCTTATTATTTCTGTGGTAACTAGACAGACCCGAGGACACTGGGGGTGACCAGAAGTGGTTTTGAGGCACTTCCTATAGACTCTTCTCTGTTGCCTGTATGAACTTCATGTGGACTCCAAATTCCTCATCTGTGTGCCTGGTCCTCGAACCCCCGTCTTCCTTGGGTTAAGTTTCTTGCTGTGCTCTATGGAGTTCCCCTTTCCATTCTCTCTACAGAGAGAGGTTTAGACTGAGGTTCACTGTCATCATAGGCTGGCTTCTTCAATAGGACATAGGCTTTATTAAGGATTCAGATTTCACAGCAAGATTATGGATTCATCTCTGCAGAGATAGATGAATCCATGAAGATTTATCTGTCCAGATAATTACTGTCTTGATTTTTCTCTCTCCCTTCTAGAAAGTCTAAATGACAGCCTGTTTCTTTCATTCCTACTTTCCTCCCATCAGAAGAAGGGGGCATATACAAGACTTTGCTGTGTTCACTAGTGACACTTTAGAGAGTTCTAAACCTAGTCTCTAAAGGTAGCTGTGTACCACAACATTTGCCAGTAAACTTACATCTTCTATTTAAAAAATAGAAAAACTTGGTGCTGCGAGATGGTTCAGCAGTTAAGAGCACTTGATGTTCATGAGAACCAGAGTTCAAATCCCAGCGCCCACATTGGGTGGTTCACAAATGCTTATTAACTTTAGATCCAAGGGTTCCAACCCCTTCTTCCAGCCTCTGCAGGCACCCGAACACACACAAATAAAAACAAATACTAAAAATTGGGGAGCTCTCAGATTAGAAATGTGTAAGACGCAAGAGTCTTGATTTTTCTCTTAGTCACCCATCATCTGTTAGTCACCCATCATCTAGTAACGGATGGATGAAGTTTGTTTCTACTGCTGTCTTTATAGCATTAAAATCATTGGATTACTTATGAATGGTGACTCCTTTTCTCGATATTGGAAACTCTGGTTGGTATTTAAGGGGCATCTCCTAGTGTTTAACATAGACTGAGTTCAAGAAGCGCACCACAGGAAGACTTAGGGTTGAGGAAATGGTTAACTGTAGACAGTTGTTTGATTGCTTTTGATCTTTTTCTCCAAAGGTGAGCATAACATAGACTTAAAATATAGATTCGGAAGGCTAAGGTGTGGCTCAGTTGGTAAGATGCTTGCCTAGTAGCCACTGAAGCCAGGTGTGGTGGCAGATGCCTGTGATCCCAGGACTTAAAAGGTGGAGGCAGAAGGATGAGAAATTCAAGGTCATCTTTAGCTACACAGAGTTTGAAGCCAGTCTGGGCTACATGAGACAAAATAAATAAATAAATTACCCACACACACACCAAAGCTGTGAATTAGATGAAAATTTGTCAGTTTTCTTGAAAAAAAAAATTACTCCTTTAGCCACTTTGGTTTCTCCTAGCCTTTTAACAAACTGCCTTTTACTTGTGTAAAGCATTATTGCTCAAATATCTGGAGACGTTTTGATGTCCAAGAAAATACCATAGGACTGGGGAGAAAGCTCAGTTCCTAAGGAAGATTTTGATCCCTGGAACCCACTTAAGCAAGCTCAGACAACAGAATGGTTACTTAGGCTCCCAGTGCTGAGAAAGCAGAGGCTGGAGGATCTTTGGGGCTAACTGGCCAGCCAGCCTTGCCTAGCAGGCAAGCTTCAGGGCTCAGCAAGAGACCCTGTATCAAACAAAACCAAGCTCTTGAGAAATCACACCCATGACCTCTGTCTTCTACACACACATAGACATACACGTGCATTTCCTATATCCATGAACATGCACACGTGTACATACATGCAAAAAATGACTATATATAGCTCATGAAGGAAAATTATATGATTTTCATAGACGCATAATTGGGTAAGAGTTCCTGCTTTTAGCAGACATGACTAACTGCTAGAGAGGTCAGTCATGATCCAGTCTTTGGCCCAGTGAGAGATCCACAAAGTAATGGAATGTTTTTGCTTATGTAAAGAGACTTCTGGAATGAGGGGATCCCTGAAACTCCTGGAGACTGCTGTGGAATAGAGCAGCAATGGTAGCACCCTAGAGCTCCCTGCTTTCAGCCACTCTCTTCCTTTGTCATTGAGATACCTTTTTGAGTCCTTATGGAAGACAATGCCACTTGGTTCCTTGCCAGCATTCTTTTCCTGGCCACTCACCAGGCCTCGGGAGTGTTTTCTTTCTTTTCCATTCTAGAGCAAACCTGGTCTTTGGAAAATTAGTGTCTAGTTTCCTGGGCCTTGAGATTTCTTATCTTACTAAAATAAATTCATTAATGGCTATGTTTTCCAGTCCTTCCTTGAGTTCCCTGCTTTCTGTTGAGAATAGCATTGTCCATGTGAGGAAAAGCTTAGGCCATCAGAGGTTGCAGTGGGAGGAACCACTGACCTGACATTCGGCTCCAGGTGCAGATCTCGTTGCGCTGTGCAAGTGATGATGTTCAAGCTGCTGCTGGAGACTGCAGCGCAGGCCACTGAACTGTTTAATCAGCAGTGCTCCTGGTTATTGGGACTCAGTAATCCTGACCGTTCAGGACATTTGGGATGGCTTTCTGCTGCTTGGTCTTCATAGCACTTTCTCTCGGGCTAGTTATGGCTAGTTTATTTCCTCACTTGAAACTTAGTGCTTTGTTATAGGTCATTCTTAATATTTTAAAAAAAAGTGAGCATTTAGAAAAGAATCAATATTAGGCAGTCTAGTATAAAAAGAAATTTGAAGTACAAAAAATGCTTTTCTGACGTGGTAGCAGTTTTTCTTATTGCCTTTGCAATTTCATTATGCCAGAATGAGTGATACTTGGCTTTACATCTATCTGTAGAACTCAGGGGGTATCCTAACACACCATTGAGCCCCGCAGAACCCTTGCCTGTTCCCACCAGAGTGTGGTGGTGTTTGTTGCATTGGCTCTGGTCGTTGTCTGTTTTCCCTGTTTTCTTCTTTCTAAATGCCAAATGTAGGTTTTGAAAGAAAATGGGTGTTTAGGTCACTTCCGAGGGGTAGGCCTGAGTCTTTGGACTTAGCGGTGGCCTGAAAGGAATGGCCATAGGCGGAGATGGTGCTTTCAAGTAAACAATTACCTTCAGGCAATTGGCAGCACAGGTAAGTGCCACATGTCTCTCGAGGGTACCCTGACCGACGGTGGGCATAAGTTTTTAATATCAGACCCTTGGAATGGTCCATCCCCAAACTTCACTATAAACATTTTGAAAATATTCCAAATCAAGGGAGGAAACTTGGTGAGCACTGCAGACCAGACCATTAGCTCAGACCTCTAACAAGATGCAGGGTGCGTGTTTATACAGCTTGGAAACAGCTGCTGGCTATTCATTGCTGTTACTATTAACTAGTAGTATACTGAGAATTCTATATGAGATGTCATGAAGGCTTCTCAGCTGGAATAGAATCTACTCTTCATTGTCCTTTTTTGTCAGTACAGGATTTATATTTATAAACTTTATATCTGTAGATATATCGTCTCTACGTAGAATAAGAACTTGATTCCAGTTGAGCTCTAACAGGCAGTGATACATTAGAAGTTTCATTCAGTCCCAAGCTCTGTAAGTAGACATTTCTCCATAACTTGTTAGGTCACCATGAATTGCTTTACCTACCCAACCCCAAGCCAGTAAGGCTAGGTAGTTCACTTAAACAGTCAGGACAGATTGCTGATACAGTGCTCTTGAGTTATGCCCGCATACCCCTGTGTATACACGTGTAAACTGTTTTGTATTTTCTTTTGAAATATCCAGAGTGGCTCTTCTAGTGGAGTTGTAAGACTGTGGATGTTCTTCATAAGCCCTCATATGGGTTTTCTTTTCATGATTAGACTGCATGATCCTCATTTTCCTGGGTGAGTTGTTCCAAATAGTTATACGTAGACGTGTTTATTTTCTTACAGTTGAACTGGCAATGATAATGGACCGTTTGTATGGTGGTGTTTGCTATGCTGGCATTGACACAGATCCAGAGCTGAAGTACCCCAAAGGTGCTGGGCGTGTTGCGTTCTCCAATCAGCAGAGCTACATTGCAGCCATCAGTGCACGCTTTGTGCAGCTTCAACACAATGACATTGACAAACGGGTAAGCAGCCACTCAAAATGGCATTGCTGTGGGAAAGCAATGAAGTTTGTTCTGTGCAGTCCTGGGCAGGGTAGTATTTTGCGATCATAAGAGAGCAGCTGTATCTGGCACGGCACTAGGCTGTGAGTCCACAGAGCTGGCCTGCAGAAGAGACAATTCTTTGTGGTGAAGGTATGACGGAACTTCTGCCTTGCTGCTTTTTCTCCCAGGTGATGAAAATAAACCCGCAGAATTTAGTGCCCAAACGAGTAGTGATGCCATAACAAAGACAAGGGAGCCCATCACTCCCAGGCAGTGTTTTTAAAACAAACTTAAATTGACATGTTCAGAAGTACACAAAAAAATTAAACTTATCTTTATTTTTAAATTGTAACATTCCACTTGGTAGCAATCGCAAGAACTAACTACTACTAACTCCCTTCAGCATCCTCCCCGGCTTCACATAATTTTACTGCTCACAAAACACATGTGTTTATACACACATGCATGTTACATTACCTGCCGTTTTGCTCATTGCTACCGCCTCCTTAGGCTCTAGAGGCACTGAGTGGACTTCCTTTGGTCTAAAAAGAGGGCTTGGGAGTTGGGGGAGTCTGTGTACTCCGTGAGCAGCTCTCAACTGCTGGGAAGCCTGGGAGATGGACGGTGGGAAGAGGAGAGGAGCCCCGAGCCTTTGCTTTCTGCCGTGAATTGTGCGGTGACTGTTCTTGCTTCTAAATAGAGGATGTCCTTGAGGCACCAACCAGATTGGAATTAGTGAAGCAGCCTCCTGTTATGGAGCTTTACTGCTCTGCCTGCGGTCCTCCTCGAGTAGTCTTGTATAACAGACAGTGTTCTTAGCATCTCAGTGGAATTCACTGTTGATGATGTACTTCATATTCAGCAAGATTATATTTTGTTAACACATGTTCTGATCAAATTACAAAAGCCAGCACTTAGAATAAATATCCTATGCTTCCTTGCGAGTAGGTGGTAGTGGTTTCTTTCTTGATTATTTTCTTTTATTTTTACCAAAGGACTTTTAATTTTGAATAATTTCTGAGATTTTTAGAATCTTATGCTCCATAACTTGTTCATCTTCAGGTTAAGCTATGTTGGCTTTGTAGAGCTTCCATGCTGCTCTACATTTAAAAGCCTTTTAAAGAGGCTTTTAAGAGAAAGTAGTGGGATAAAATAATTTCATGTGACTTTTGATTTTAAATGTTACAGCTATAATGTTACCTAATGCATTTTAACTTACGTGCATTATAATTTTTTTAAATCAAAGCCACCTTCCACTCCTGTTCCTCCCATTGCTCCCCTAGTCACTTCTAGAACTTTCCCCTCCTAACTTCATGTGCTCTGCTTTTAAACCCTTTGAGTTCACATAGTGCTGCCTATAGGTGCGTGGATGCAGAACCATCTACCGGAGCATGGATAGCCATTCTGAGACTGTATCCCTGAAGAAAACTGACCTTTCCCTCCCCCGGTAGCCATCAATTGTCAATAGTTCCTCTGCTAGGAGTGGGACTTCATGAGCTCTTCCCCAGCCACGTTGGGATTTTGATTGACTTTATTTATAGATGTCCTAGTTAGAGCCCCACACAGTCTCATATTCTCTGCACGCTGACCATGTATGGGTATCCGTATTAATTACCACCTACTGCAAAAAGCAGCTTCTCTGGTGAGGACTGCCAGATAGATACACCTTTTAGCAGGTATAAAGATAAGATTTAAGCAAGTTATTGCTATGTCTATTCAGCAGAATATTAGCATTATATTCTTTGTTAGCGCCTATGACTTAGTCAGCCAGGGGTTTTGGAGCCAGTTAATGGTACTAGTTATGAGTTTTATATTGTGGGGTGGGCCTTAAATTCAACCAGGAAGTTCCTGTTTGCTCTCATAGCATCGATGCCACTATTGCGCTAGCAGGTAACTCACCAGGCCAGCTTTACTGTTGCTGGCGTAGTTCACAGCTGGATAAAACTGTCGATTACTCTCCCTTGGGAGCATGCATAGACCCTTCCAAAATTATGGGAACTAGCCAGTAGGGATAAGGCTTCCAGATCAGTACCAGCTTGCTTTCTCCCTGTCCTATGACACAAGTAGGTGGAGTCTGTAGTCACAGCGTCTTAGGGGGCGAAAATTCGGGTTGGTAGTGGATTTTGCATATTTAGTAAGAAGTCTTGTTAGCATGTGTATTTGAGCAAATTAGAATAAATATTTGAGAATAAATGAGAATAAGTGGTAGTGGTTTATTTGTTAATTTTTTCAGACTTTTGAAACACTGAGTTAATGGAGACTCAGAAGAAATGACAACGATTTGACTTTATTCCTGTTTTCAGGTCCCCACACATCCTCTTTTCTAACAGCAGCCCTCACGGGACTGAACGCCACAGAGAGGCACCGGGTCTCTCTGACTCAGCCCCAGGACGCATCTTTGCTTGGTTCAGTCTGAGATGCTCAATAGCCCCTTTTGAACTCACACATGGTGCTTTTTGAAGGTCTCTTCCCTCCCTCTGCTGTTGCTGGTGGGCCTGCCTACTTATGCCTGTTCATTTGGGTGTCTGATACATTTGGCTCAGGCTGCAATCCTACCCATTGCTGGTAAACCTGGGCAATAAAGCTTACCCAGAGAACTTTAGGTTCTCATCAGTATGAAAGTAACTTTCCTTGTTCCCCTCTGGGGGTGATAAATGAGAAAAGGGGAGGGCGTGCTTATTCTCCAATAGTCTGAGTTGGCAGCATTGGGAATCATTGAGACTCTTCCTTCTCTGGGAGCCCCACTCCATTCTCATGTGTGTTGTTTGCCCTGACTCTTCTAAAGCCCATTTCCTTCACTGGAAGGAGTGAGAGCCTGCTTCATCTTCAACTGGGCTCTTCCCACCGTTGACCTTGTAGACACTGCAATCCTGCCTTCCTCACGGTTATGCCACTGCTTGCCCTTGCATTGAGCATAACCACACAATGCTTGTCTCTGACATTTTGAGCCTGTTAGCTGCATTCTTTATAGATGTGTTTTAGGCTCATTCATACTTTTATTTCTACTTGTCTTACTACTAAAATTTAAATTTGAGCTTTCTAGGGAGCTATCGCTATATAACAGCACATTTGTATTTCCTTAGAGAGAATGTCTGTCATTGGTTCACCTTTCCTGAATAGCTCCTACAGGGTTTGCAATAGTCTCATCATAAAGCCTGTGAAACTTGTGCTGAAAGCCAAGGACTTGTGCCCACCATTACCCATAATCCATTTGTGCTGCTATTGAAGAGTCTAAGGTGCTGCCCTCACCCCCTTCTCCTGTGTCTTTGAGGACAGGTGTTCCATACAAGCTTTATTGAGCTGTTTTATGGTCTTGTATACCTATGATTCCCCCATTTAAAGAATGCAACTGAAATGTTTCAGTCTGTCTGTACCATTGATGTGTAGCAGCTGCACTGGAACCAGGGCCACACTGCCTGTAGCCTCTGTATTCACTTGGCTCATTGGGAGAGGACCCTGCTTTGTTAACCTGCACTCTTCCATCAGGAACCTCTTGTAGGTGTGTCTAGGGCTCCCCTTGTTGAAGGAGTCAGTGTCCACACAACAGTGACTGGCTGTTGTGGCTTGTCTAGCCACTAGAGGACTAACATGTGACTAATGGGCCTAATGGTCAGTGCCTGGCCATCCTTACATAGCCACACTTTGATCTTGACTCTGACACACATGTACAGGAGTGTCTGGTAAGGACAAGCACTTGATAGTATGTGGATTAAATTAGGGTGGCTAGGCTGTCTCTCACTGGACATCCAGGGCTGATTCCTCATAATCTATCTCCAAATCATTCTTCTTTTAGTTTTTATTTTGTTTTGAGACAGGGTCTTCCAGGATGATCACAAACTTACAACCTTCCGGCCTTGTACTACTGGGTGCTGAAGTTATAGTCATGTGCTACCATTTCTGACCCATTTAGAGCAGTTTTTATAAGCTCTTAATTTGAAGTAAATCACCTCCCTATATTTAAACCTTTTGGTTACATTCTTCTACTATTGGATAAAGGTTAAAACAAACAACCTTAAGCTTTCCTAAATACCCTTCATGTCCTACATGCTTGTTCTCTTTTCCTGCGCCAGCCATACTGCTCTTGTTCTCCATTCCTTAGGGCCAAATCTACAGTTACCTGGCTGATACCTTTCCTTCAGGCCTCACTGCCATGGTGGTAATTTTAGAACTGATTTATTCACTGGCGTGTGTAGCCCTCAACCCACAGACAATCATAGTACACTCTCTAGTCTGCTGTGGCCCTAAGTGCTGAAAGTCATTATTGCAGACCTCACAGTTCATGTGGGCAGTGACTGTGTCTTTCAGAGTAGCTATTGTGTACTCAGAATATGGTATGCAATGGACAAACATTGAATATTTATCAGTGGTTCATCTATTGATTGAATGCAGATTGAGAGGTAGTCCAATGGGAAACACCTCTGTTCTGACCTTCAGCATATCTGTCTGTCCACCACACAACTCTTGCTCAGCTTTTCTTTTCTACTGTTAAGATACTCATTTGAATAATTTAAAAAATTAATTTTGCTCCTTAGAATATCAGAGAGCATTCTTTGACATTTCAGAGCATATTAGACCTGAACTTGATCTGAGGCCTGACCTGGTCCAGTATCCTGTAGTCCACAACAGGGAACACTAGGTGTGCAGAGAGTTCCTCACGTTACCTACCGAGTAAGGGCGGAGTTGCTTCAGTTTGGAGGCTCCCCAGCCACACTGCTCATCTCGGGCCTGAAGTTCTGTCTGTTCATTTGTCTGTTTGTCCCTTTTGTGCAGCGCTAGAAGTGATGATTCCACTGCTGACCTCCATCTCCCCCTCTTCAGAACCCAAAGATTCTTCAAACTCAGTTCTTCCATGAAATCTTCAATGCTCAAACCTACATTTAAAAATGCTAAACTGGGTGGTGGTGGTGCACACTTTTAATCCCAGCACTCAGGGGGCAGAGGCCAGCTTGGGCTATGTAATGAGTTTAAAGCCCACTTAA